AGAAAGTAACTGTAAATACAGAACCTTCCCTGGGAGGTCCCCTCACCACGTACAGGAATCCACGTCGAGGGGGGATCATGACTGTTCCTGGCAACTAGTCTTTTCTAGGGCCCCCCTTATTTTAGTATATAAGCCCGGCAAATAAAGCGTAGATATAATTGTAGATAGATAGATATAGAGACAGATAATTGAGCCAAGTGAGCAGTAGTGACCGAAAGTAAAGTGCTCGAATCGTTGTGAATTATAGCGTGTGTTTAAGTTAAAGTGACTGTGGAAATTCTGTATTGCAAAGTTGTATTAATTAAGAATAAACTAGTTTTATTTAAGAAGGGACTTGTATCGCTGAAGTTCCTCGGGAAGAATTTTTAGGGGAAATTACCAAACAAGCAGATACGTAACAATATAATAAACTTGATCCTCTGATTGAGTAAAGGTTTTTATCCATACACAGAATAAAGTAACTTAAATACTACCTTTTCTTATCAAAAGGTTAACCATAGTAAGTACAAGTCGAAATACCAAATAGCTGTCTTAATAATGATTACATCTGTAAAGTGGAACTCTCACCTAGAAATTGTTTCCAACATTTCTGGAACATAAAGATCTTTTGACCCGTGAAGATTTATTTCTTTTCCTTCTACCCCTTCACCTAAAATCTGCCCTTTGAAAACTTTCGTTCCTCCAATAAACGTTCTGGTTTGAGCATTTCTTAGAACGACGTCTATAAAACAGTTTTTAATTAATGACTTTGAGCACATAATTATAAATGCAGTTTTAGTTTATATAAACACTGCGATTGTATTTTTCTCAAGACAATTTTCAATGTAGCAGACAAATTAGCTTTTAGAAATGTTCATCTTACATGTGGCCATGAATGAGGAACGAAGTATTTGTGATAATTAACACAGGAGACACTTTAAAGATTCCGAATAGTTACGTCAAGTCAGTGTTGCTTGACTACTAACTAACACTTTGATAGTTATATTTAAGACTTTAAAAGAAGACCAACCACATAACTTACCTTCTAATTTTGAATACAACTCGTCTATTTCAGTTTCCAACTCTTCAATGTTTTTGGCCAATAAAGAGGCATCTTTTACTGTTAGTAACGTTTGTTCATTTCCGATTAAGTTACCAATAAAGCCTTCGCTAGAGAAGTCATTGTAGATAACGTGACTTTGAACCACTTGGTTTCCTCTAGGACGGACAGCGTTTTTCAAGTAATATTCAATCATTTGAGCTTGTTCTTCTTGTTTATCTAATTTTTTCTGAAGATATATTTTTATTAATCAGTCTTATTAAACTGATGTAATACATAAAAAAAAATGAATTAAAGTTTAAAAATTTTAATTTCGTCTATCATACATATTGGCTTTGAAAATGTTTACACAATTTAAAACTTTAGTTTTCATTCAGTTTTACAGTTTAAGGAATTATAAATACCTATAGATATTTCCCTCTTAATCCACAACACATGGCGGCTAAAAATTAAAGGTATGTGTGAAAATAGCTTAAGTCTCTCAGAAGTCACTGCTCAAGAAGCTTTTCATCCAATACCAGAACTCATTAAAGCTTCACGATAAAACAGTTGTAGGCCTAGTGTTTATTAATAGTTCGCAGGCTTTCAGAGTTTAAACCGTACAGTTACTATTAGAATATTAATTGTTTAGCTGTAAAAGTAACCATATTAAAGTTTAAAGTCACTTCATCACACATACAATATTTTATGTTAAGGATTTTTCTAGTAAATGTTTTTGTTTTAGAAAGTTAATGTACAAGATTAACGTATGGAAAATTTATACGATAAAAAAAAGTTTATTTTAAGCAAATTTTCTGGGTGATAACTTTAATTATTGATAGTTAAAAAAGTACCTTTAGATGAAGGAATAACTGTTCCATATTAGTAAGGCTTACAACTTTTGGATTAGGTATCTCGTTGTAATGATACCAAAATCTGTACATGATGGTGGATCTCTCATGAGGCACCACTAATATTTCAAAGTTTCCACTCAAAAATGAAGTCATCCCGTTCTTGGCTGGAGGATTCCAAATGTCGTAGTGACAAGTAAACCCTAAAATATGTCGTAAAGAAGTAGATACATTTCAGATTTTTGGGAGGGTTTGAAACCGATATCGAGGATTAAAAAAAATTATTAAAACAATTTTGAATATGTAAAGCCAAATTACGTAACAAACAAACATTCTGAATGTATCAGAATTATACTTTGATAGTTTGGCGTGACTTAGGTTGTTGATGGTATCGAAAGAACTTTTCGACGCAAAATGTTCACATACACTCAAGTCAGGTGTTTTTAGATTGAAGATTTATTTCTAAGACAAGGATACATTTCCTAGTTAATGACATCGAAACAAAATATGGAGACTTTTAGAACCGGGGCTATCCAAAAGGACTTGCAACAAGTTATGTCCCAGCCGTGGTAAGCAAAGTGTAGCATCTTTTAACAGGTGAGAATCAAAGAATACAAACGTTAGTAGCAAAAGCCGTCCACGTATCCCAGGCAACAGTACACAATACTGTCAAAAAAGAAAAGAAAAAAAAATCGACGAGTATCCACAAATTGTTCAACTGTTGCCTACTTTAAGCAGTTGGAATATTACACGTTGGTTTTTTTATGCTATAAGATATACCACTCAAATCACCGAACACATGGCCATGGCGTATGAAACTGATGGGGCTATTGAAGGCATGCATGAAGGAGGGGTGTAATTTGAACATCACGACCTTAATATGGAACCCATTACAATGGAAATTAGGCTTAAGGGCTATTGTCTGGTAGAGCATGAAATAACATGGAAACATGGTCTGTGACGAAGCACCGATGCTCAATAACGTGCTCCACCCCCCCTCAGAATTATATTCCGAATTCACGATAGAAATTAACGAACAAGTAACTCCTTTAAGAAAAAGGAAATAAAAAATCTTTAACAATATGTGCTAATTCAAATATAGTTTCACGGTATGATTGGTTTATGATGGTGGATAGGCGAGAGAACATGTTTAGTTATACATGGAATAACAAAAATAGACGTTTAGACTTACACAACCTCGATTAATCGCCGTGATGGATTCAAATTCGATGACGAGGAACCCACTTTGAGACTGCTTGAATGGGTAATGAAGAAAACTTTAATACAAGTTTAACACAACAGCAAATGTACAACGTTTCGACCTGATGATTACAAAACGTTGTCGAAACGTTGTACATCTACTGTTATGTAGAACTTATATTATCTTCATTACCCATTCAAGCAGTCTCCAAACATAGTCTCAAAGTGGGTTCATCGTCATCGAATGTGCTAATATCCAAAACATGATTCTTCTGTACACGTGCGTAAATATTTAATGGAATAGAAATATTAATACAGTATCGAGTCAAATGTAGTACGTTTTAAATTTAAATTATTCAAAAGAATATTACGCATTACATAAGTGATTAATTTAACAATCTAGTACACAACACTTATCCTTGAAATTACACTATATATAAAAAAAAATCAAAAGTACGTTCATATTTGTTTACAACTTATAAAAAGTAATGACATCGAAACAAGAAACAACCTGATTGAGTTCGTTTCGTATAAACAATGTCCGGAGCAAATCGATCCAGCTGTAGATAGTGGTAGTCGAAAGAAAGGTAGAAACCTCCAGAGGACGCTCTTACTACCGCTCTACACGTGGCCAGTCCGACACATTCTTCCTTAGCTGCGTTGAGATCGCGAAATCTTAGTTTGTCGTACTGTACACTACCACGAGACAATTTCCAAGTCGTGCATATTGGAATACCTAAAAATTGACCATAGCATATTGAAACGTTAAAGCACATTCTTAAAGAAATGTACACGCAGTATTTATCATAACATTCAGTTTTTGTCCGTACTAAAATTGCGAGTGCACTTAATTTCAACGATGTAATGAATATGAAGTCTTAGAACTAGGCCTAAAACAAGGGGACTTCCAGATTTTGGTTTTAGGATTAGAATTCTTACATTATTCTAGAATCCTGTATTAAAAAAGTATTGTTGCAATAAAGATACTAATTTGACCACATATTGTGGATTTCCGCTAGTTATCATCATCATCAATATGATAGTGTTTTCAGATCTACTCTTAGCTTTTAACATTACTCCATCTGGTGATTTGAAAACTTAAGAGTTTGTCGTCGCGAAACTTCTTAAAAATCCAGAGTTGGTTTGCCGGATTTCGCGCAGACCTATTCGAGAGCTATCTGCGCTAGCTGTCCTTTAATCTTGAAACTTGACTAGGGGGGGGGGAGGCAACTAGTCAATATCACCCACCGTGTAATTTTAAAGACTTCCTTAAAGAACAATTCTCATCTCGTTACCACTAAGAGTGAGAATTGTTCTTTAAGGAAGTCTTTAAAAGAATTATGAACTACGTAATCTCGTATCATAAATCCGGCGCAATAACCCCTAGGCCTTGCTAGGTCTCCTACTGTCGAGCTCGTTCATAGATAATAAATGTACTGTACATAATTTATAGGACTATCGCTTCGGTTCTAGCAGTACAAACAACTGTAAAGTTTGCTGTGCAACTATTATTTCTGATGGGCAGGTTGTTTCTACTTATCACGCCTCCGTTCGTTCGTTAATTAATTTTCCGTAAATTCGTTCCAACGAAACTTTAGCGACACAAGTCCTTTCTTAAATAAAACTGGTTTATTCTTCGCGAATACAACTTTACGATACACTCAACTTCAACAGTCGCTCTGTAACAAACGCTATAATTGTCACGTGCTCGCCAATACTCAGTTCAATTACTCACTACTACACATTGTCGCGTCACATTGTGACCATCTTATATATACCAGCCTACCCCCAATCTAGTAAATGATAGGGCATTCATGAAGGTTCGAGATAAGTGGCGTGACACTAGTCACGTGACCTCGCTGACGCAACATACTGTTACAAAGTATTTCAATATTAAGAAAACTCCAATTTTTCAACCATCTCAGCGATCGAAAGTTTGCGAATGAATTCTCTATAAAGTTAGAAAGAGCCGAGCACGGGGGGGTGGGGGGTGGGCTTAAATTAGAAATTTACCTTTTAATTAACTTCGCTTATCTTTTACCGTAAACTTACCATCACCTTTGTGGAACCTTTCTAGCTTAGGAAGAAGTGAAGACAGGTCTTTGTTGAAGACAAACCTGAACACCGATTGTTGTGTGCTTCCCCTACCAGTCTCGCTGGTAAGCACCAACAGCGGCTCCGAATGGCAGCCACCTATAGGAACCTGCTTCCATTGAAAACCCTTATTAATTTCAGTCACTTTCTGGTAGAGCTCAAGTAGGGGTTTTTTCCACCAAAAAATCCATTGGTCTTCCTTAGTTGCTATGGCTACTAGTCTTGCAGAAGCGTACATAAATATTTCAACATCAAGGGCATATCGGACTTCATTTACTCTACAACAGAAAATTAAAAAAAAAACATTTTGATCATCATTATCTATTACGTAAACAGGACTTTAAAAAAATATATAACTGTTTAAAATTAAATGTAGTTACTTACTCAAAGAAAAGTACTTGCAATGATGAAAGGTTTATACAAAATATTAAACACTTAAAGTATTTGTTTTTTTGAAATTCTATCAAAACAAGTTTACCAAAAGAAACTTCGTTGAATTAACTGAGAAGCTAGTTCAAGCGAAAATAAAGAAATAAAACAACTTTGTTGTAGAAGATACCCAGTTAAAGTGTTTGTATAGTCTCAGTTCTGTTAACAAGCGACTAAGTAAGAACGCGTAGTTGTACATTAAACAAAGCCAAGGTTAACGTAGCAGCAGAAAAACATACAATTTGAGAATAATATGTATGCGCGCGCAGAGATCTTTCAGTATACGAGTCTGTCGAAACATTCCAATAAGATACATCGTAGTTCAGTGGTTTCAAAAGCAGATGAAAATGTCACTTTAACTAGTAGGGCAGAGGACGAGATACGAATTCGCTACTATTAATTCGAACTTCACATCTGAGCAGCGAAGGTCAGATGTAATCATTATTATGTTTAGATTTGATCCAACTCTTGACAGATACGAGATTTAATTACAGCCGAGGCTACCGAGGATTCCCTCTTGTTTTTAAATACTACCTAAAAAGGAATATTTTAAGTAGGACACTTGTCCTATTTATCAAGTATTTGTTAGAAATCAGATTTAAAATGAAATTATTTAACTTAAATTACCGTACCACTTTTTCTTTTTTTTTTGCATTCTTGAAATAACTGTTCTCGTAGTTGTAGTGTTAAAATACGAGATTCGGATAAGCTGAAAGTGTTCTCCACGAGAGAACAGGATTTACAATATAAACAAGGTGTAAATGTGCCCTCTGTGTGTATCAATGTGAAACTTAGGCTTAAAGTTCACTTACCTTTGTATTTCATGGATGCTAACTTGTCCAGACGTTCGTTCAATAGACATGTGGTATACAATAACCCCATCTGTTGAAGCATCTCTTGTAAACACACACGTTTCCTGGAAACATCCCACATCAGAAACAGAGCTCCAAGAATATCTTGTTCTCTGAATCTCTCCAGAAGCTGAAGGAGATTATGAGGATTAAAGTTTACGTACCATTTATCACTTTTTAATCGCTAGACAATTACATTTCTTAAAGTTTTTGGCAAAACTTGCTACATTTACTTTTCCTCGCACTTACGATTGACATCAGTTTTATACAACATTTAGCATAGAGAGAGGATGCAATACAGTTTTGAAATAACAAAAACCTCGAATCTTGTATCTTAGGGTTTAATTCATTGTTCACACCTGGATTTTGATAGCTGTAATTGCAGTGTTCGGCAGATGAGTATCACTTGCAACTCCTCACACCCCCCCCCCCCCAGTAGTTAATTTGTTGCGATTTTATCAACATTAAATTTTCCCTATACATTCAAGAGGAACAATCTTCAAACACTTTTCTGTAGACAGTAAATGGTAGTTTGAGGTGTGGCATGTTTTAAACGATCACTGCCAATGTTTCTAAATTCTACACAAAGCTTGAGAGTGAAGATGGAATCTAACACTGTACCGCCACCTCCAGGTACTCTGTCCTTAGTTGTCTGAAGTTAAAATTTTAGATACCTGTTAGAGGTAAAGTCACCCACTCCTAAATCCGGCAACCTTGGGATCTAAGCCTTGCCGAATCTTGGAGTTCGCCACATTTAGGGTGGCCATATTGTTATATACAAATGAAAAAAACAAAAAAAAACTGTATTTACTGTACTGCATGTTATTGTACATAATGTATATATAAAATCAAGATAAAGGTGATGTGCATAGGAAAGTATTGTATTGTACAGTTAGCCGGAAAAGGGGATTGCTGGATCTGGGAGGTTCCATTGTAGTACAATTAATGTTTAGAGTAAACTTACTTCCTTGTGGTAGAAAATACATTACTGTATTATCCTCAGTCCGATTGGTGCCAATCAGGAACAAACTTACAAACAGTTCTTCTTCTGCAATCCTAAGTTTATTATATTCGAACCTTGGCTCGATTTGAAAGACGTTCACCAGTTTCTGAAATGAGGACAGATATGTTAGTGTGTAAAAATTAAGTGATATTGTATTATATTAGGCTTAAGAAAAAAAAAAGCAGAATAAAGCTTTAATGTTGAACAAACATGGAACAATTCTTTTCATACAAACATTTAGTTACAAGATTTCAAATAAAGGGGGAGCAGGCGGACTCCGAGTGGTATCAGATCCAAATACTACTGTTCTGTCATCATTAATGTAAACAGGCCAGCCTGCAGTGTACACTATTACTAACAACAGTCTAAAAGGCGGTTATGCCATAAGGCTGGGGAAGAGGCTTAAGACTATACATTTTAAAAATCCATCGCGTAGATTGTGCAAGTAGCTAGCACATACAACATATTAGAATTGTATATTAGTCCCCCCACTTTATCCACACATCTGCTGCAAAGTATTATTGTCAGTTATAGTTACAGGCAGAAAGACACCCCCCCCCCTTCTCGGTCTGATAGTTTTTAACAGTTGTAAGTATTAACCTCCACTATGAATTAAACAGAGAATTTCAAGTTACGCTACCGCATAGGAAAAGAAAAACAAACAAACGTTTAAATTCATCACAGGGTGGGCGACGAGACTGGACGAACGTCATCGTCTGGATGTAGATAAACTAGGTAGCGACACAAATTTGTAAAAGTTTGCCTTTACGGTGTCGAGTTTTTTTAATCAGGGTCTGGCGTTTATTAAGAAACAAATGTTTACCATATAATTAAGTACTCCCGAAAACTGAGTAGTTTTAATTTTATAAAGTTCTCTTTAGAAATGCACAAGTGCAATTCAGCAAAACATTCACGAACTAAAACGTTAGTTTTAAATACTTGGTAAAGTTTGTAGGGTCGATTTTATCAGAGGTCAGCATCCCCAGTAAGCTATGCAAGAATTGTACTTTTTTTTTTTTATTTTTTTTTTTATTTAGTATTGTGAAAGTAACCTACTGAACCACCACCGTTGCATGTAACTATAATTCACAGGCTTGCGAATTTAAACTTTTGAATTTAATAACAGATTTTTCATAATTCAACTAAGATATCGAAAGTACTCTTTTTTTTCAATGAAGCAAGGATTTAAAAAAAATCGAAAAACTTAGATCAAACTATTATCTCGTTTACCACAATGAATA